AAGAAAAAGTCCTATTTGGGAGTTCTTTATACTGCTCTAATAAAACTTTTTTGCATCAGAGTCTGACTCTGTTGCCCGCTAGGAGTGAATGGCCTGGCGTCAGCCTCGCCCACAGCAACCTCAAACCTCCTGGCTCAAGCGATCCTCCTGCCTCAGCCTCCCGAGTAGCCGCGGACCAACAAGGCATGTGCCACCATGCCCGGCTGATTTTTGATATATATATTTTTAGTTGGCCAATTAATTTCTTTCGTATTTATAATAGAGACGGGGTCTCGCTCTTGCTCAGGCTTTTCCGAACTCCTGGACCTTGGAGCGATTCTCCCTTCTCGGGCTCCTAGAGTGCTAGGATGACAGGCCTGAGCCACCACGGCTGCGCTCTAATAATAACTTTGAATGTATGCTGCATTAACATTAAGAGGAAATCTAGCATCTGACGATACTAAGAAATAAACAATTCCGTTCTTTCACAGAAATCAAACTTAAAACCCGACGCGATGATAATGAAACGTTAAATAATTTGGATCTATTTCAGATCTATTCTGGCATCACAGATACCTGCTATGTGGCTTTGCCAACACGGGTATCTGCTGTGCTTCTAACACGGAATGCCACTTAGATACTTTGAGAATGGCCTGGTTGTTTTTCTTTAATTGGATGTCAACAACAGAAAAAAGAAACCATCATAGATTTATCTTTAAAAGGAAGATTATACCAAGGATATGTGCAGAAGAAAAGGAAAAAAAAAAGAAATGAAATAAAAATTTAAAATAACTTTAAGATGAAAAAGAATAATAAAAAAATAAATGACATGGAAGATTACAGACTGAAACGCACACAAATGAAAGTAAAGTGGAGGACAGAGGCACGTGGGGAGAACACGGCCCTGCACTGCCACTACTCTCTCACCTAGACAGTCCGGAGAAGTCCGCCTCCTCCTCCTCACATCTCTCGTCCAGCTCTTTCAAGGCCAAGGTGACGTCGTCGTCACAGACCGACTCCGGGTAGCTCTCAGGAGCCAGAGGCTCTGGCATTTCAGCTTCTTCTAAATCAAGAATCCCTTGACACACGAGGGAATCCTGCTGCTCCTGAATCACATGTGAGCCTTCGTCTTCAAAGCCTGTAGCATGTCCCTCCTTTAACACTGAACTTGAATCCTGCAGAACAATCATGTTTTTAGCGGACTTCAAAAACATTAAAAAAAAAAAAAAAAAGAAAGAATTTTATAACATAGTAATTATTGCCATCTGTCTGTTTTATTACGTAGTCTTCCTTTACACAGGCTAATCTGTAAAGTTTCTGAAACGATATTATAAAATCGTGTTTTTTTTTTAATGGTCCCAGGTTTAGGATTTTTAAAAATATATCACCCATTGTCATATAGAAACATCGAGGAGGTTTTTTCCCCACTTCTTCCTCTTAAGTGACAGGATCTTTCTGTTTACTTAGAAATATGTCCTTTGGGCCGGGTATGGCGGCTCATGCCTGTGATCCTAGCACGCTGGGAGGCCGAGGCGGGAGGATCGCTCGAGGTCAGGAGTTCGAGACCAGCCTGAGCAAGAGTGAGACCCTGTCTCTACTAAAAAATAGAAAGAAATTAATTGGCCAACTAAAAATACACATAACAAAAATTAGCCGGGCGTGATGGCTCATGCCTGTAGTCCCAGCTACTTGGGAGGCTGAGGCAGGAGGATCGCTTGAGCCCAGGAGGCTGAAGCTGTGAACTAGGCTGGCGCCATGGCACTCTAGCCCGGGCAACAACAACAACAAAAAAAAAGGAGTTTTTTTTCCCCACTTCTTCCTCTTAAGTGATAAGATCTAGATGTTTACTTAGAAATATGTCCTTTGATAAAATATCTTCTCTCATATATATTCTAATGCTATACAAGTAAAACTTTATATTATTATTATTATAAATTCTCTCTTCTTGGAAATGTCATTCTTTCATTATACCACAACGCAGTGAATTCTGAACATAAGCGAGAGAGATGATTCAGAATAGCTGTCCCCTGGCCTGCGAGTCTGGCCCCAAAGCAGGAACAGCTCAGCCCAGCCAGGAGGGTGCTGACCCGGAACCACTAGGGCAGCCTTCCTGGCACAAATGAGCTGACTACTTGTGATGTAAAGGTCCTTTTCAGGGAATAAGACTAGAATAAACTCATTTTGGCTTTATTTATTGATTTATTTATTTTTTGAGCCCCGGGCTAGAGTGAGTGCCGTGGCGTCAGCCTCGCTCACAGCAACCTCACACTCCTGGGCTCAAGCGATCCTCCTGCCTCAGCCTCCCGAGTAGCTGGGACTACAGGCATGCGCCATCATGCCCGGATAATTTTTTATATATCCATATATATATATGGTTGTCCAGCTAATTTCTTTCTAATTTTAGTAGAGATGGGGGTCTCACTCTTGCTCAGGCTGGTCTCGAACTCCTGACCTTGAGCAGCCTCATTTTGGCTTTAAGTATCAATAAAGCTTCACTTCACCACTGAGCTACAGTTCAGAAGACATTTGGAAATTTTTTTTTTTTGAGACAGAGTCTCGCTTTGTTGCCCAGGCTAGAGTGAGTGTCGTGGCGTCAGCCTAGCTCACAGCAACCTCCAACTCCTGGGCTCAAGCGATCCTCCTGCCTCAGCCCCCGAGTAGCTGGACTACAGGCATGCACCACCATGCCGGCTAATTTTATATATATATTAGTTGGCCAATTAATTTCTTTCTCTTTATAGTAGAGACGGGGTCTCGCTCTTGCTCAGGCTGGTTTCGAACTCCTGACCTTGAGCAATCCGCCGCCTCAGCCTCCCAGAGTGCTAGGATGGTTTCATTATCAGTCGTCGGGTTTTTAAAGTTTGATTTCTGTGAAAGACGGAATTGTTTATTTCTTAGTATCGTCAGATGCTAGATTTTCCTCTTAAATGTTAATGCAGCATACATTCAAAAGTTATTATTAGAGGCCAGCCGTGGTGGCTCAGGCCTGTCATCCTAGCACTCTAGGAGGCCGAGAAGGGAGGATCGCTCAAGGTCAGGAGTTCGAGACCAGCCTGAGCAAGAGCGAGACCCCGTCTCTATTATAAATAGAAAGAAATTAATTGGCCAACTAAAAATATATATATCAAAAATCAGCCGGGCATGGTGGCACATGCCTGTGGTCCCGGCTACTCGGGAGGCTGAGGCAGGAGGATCGCTTGAGCCCAGGAGGTTTGAGGTTGCTGTGGGCGAGGCTGACGCCAGGGCATTCACTCTAGCCCGGGCAACAGAGTCAGACTCTGATGCAAAAAAGTTATTATTAGAGAGTATAAAGAACTCCCAAATAGGACTTTTTCTTCACTCATGGGCTAATTTAAATAATCAATTATTATATATAGTTCTTAAAGGAAATTTTGGTGGCTGTTATGAAACTCATATACCCAACAATTCTACAATGATCAGAATATTGATCTAATCAAATATCTGCTACTTAAATTTTATAAATATTTACGGCTCAAAATAATGTCTCTAACTTCATGTGCTCTATCAGTGTGTTCATTTCCCCACGCAACAATTTGGAGCTCTTTGATCATTATTTTTACATAACATTAATATTTAATCAAATATTTCAGAGTTTTACTCTTACAATAAAAATTGTACCTTTATACTCCCTGTGTTAATAGAATTTTAATATGTACAACACATGGGAGATTGTTTTTACTCTCGGTATATATCTACAATACTTACCTATGTTTGAAAATGCATATTTAGATATTAATAATACCTGTTAGAGAAATACATTTTTCGTATTACTGATCTGAATATGGCAGCAGCCCACACAGTCAGTCATTGATCGTGCACAGGTTCAAGGCTGTCAGAAAGGATTTGAGGATAGATGTTCAGCTATTTGGCTTTGCAGAAGGCCAAAGCCAGGTAATTTCCTCTGGCCAAGTCCTGCAGCTGAGACAGAGCCATGCCTCCCTACCACGTAGAGAGGTTGTCTATGTTAAAATCAGTCGCCACAGTGACGTTTTAAAAATTAATCTTTTTGGGGTATAATTGAAATTTTCACTTCAGATGTTTGCTTTGATTGTTTTCTGCAATCTTCACTCAGGTCCCTGCCTCCTATGTGAATTGCTCCACAATTTCTATAAAGCCTTACAGAACTATCCTATAATCTGAAACATGCAATTTTAAGACCCGGCATAACACGTTTCTTTATGGAGTGTCAGACTCAAATGCTTCTTCGTCTTTGCCACCTAGAGTAGTAAAACCTCCAGCCCAAATACGTCTTCTTCTTTTTTCATTGTTGCATTTTTAACTGTATTATCTTTCCACTGTTTTGTAGTTCCAAAAATAAAAATTAAAAAGATAAGAAATGTAAAATTATAAAATTTTTAAAAATAATGAAAAAAAAAGAAAAAAATAAAGAAATTAAATGTGTTATCTGACTATTGGGATTATAAATTTCTCAAAGGAAATGGCCAGGTCTCTTGTGTCTTTAGAGCCAAATCTTCCGCGGGGACGCTCCGAGCCCTGAGCGGCGGGGGTCACTGGGGTCACCGAGAGTCATTTAAAAATTGCCTCATTTTTATCGTCCGCACACACACTGACTTGGAAAACACAACAACAACAACTACGGAAACTTTGTAAGAAAGCAAGGCGGGCGCGGTGGCTGAGCTGTCACCTGGCACTCTGGGAGGCCGAGGCGGGAGATCACTCGAGGTCAGGAGTTCGAGACCAGCCTGGAGCAAGAGGGAGACCCCGTCTCTACTAAAACAGAAGAAATTAATTGGCCAACTAAAAATATATATAGAAAAAATGAGCCGGCATGGTGGCGCATGCCTGTAGTCCCAGCTACTCGGGAGCTGAGGCAGGAGGATCACTTGAGCCCAGGAGTTGGAGGTTGCTGTGAGCTAGGCTGACACATGGCACTCACTCTAGCCGGCAACAAAGTGAGACTCTGTCTCAAAAAAAAAAAAGCACGAATAAGCAAATTCATGTTTTCTACTTGACACTTTTAGAATTAGGACTCCCATTTCAAGTGACTACCTAAAAACGACCCAAGTCCTATAATACAGCCACTGCTGTGGATTAATTTCAGTGACTTCTAGGAATGGTGACAGATCGGAATGCTTTCCCTTTACGTGGTCAGGCTGGGTGCAGTGGCTCATGCCTGAAATCCCAGTGCTTTGGGAGGCTGAGGTGGGAGGTCGTTTTAAGCCAAGAGTTTGAGATCAGCCTGAGCAACATAGCAAGATTCCATAGGTACAAAAGATTAAAAAAAAAAAAAAATTAGGTGTAGTTGCAAATGCCTATAATCCCAAGCTACTCAGGAGGCTGGGGCGGGAGGACAGTTTGAGCCCAGGATTTTGAGGTTGCAATGAGCTATGATTGCGACATGGCACTCCAGCCTGAGTGACAGAGCAAGACCCGGTCTCGAAAAAAATAATAATGAAGGTTTGATCATGTTCTTTCATGTCAAGGGCTCTGTTAGGTGCTTTAAAAGGATAATTTCATTCAGTCTTCAAAACTCTGTGAGAGTTAGATTTTATTACATCAGTTTTACAGATGGGGAAATGAAAAGTTCGGTGAGGTTAAATAATGTACCATAGGTTACTGGGTAAGAAATGGCAGAGCCTGAATTCGAACCCAGGACTCTGGGTCCAAAGGCAGTGCTATTAGCCAGGGCACATACGGCCTGCTCAGCTGCTTCATAAGCACATACTATGTACCTAGCATATGGCGATCAG